ATGTTGTTGATCATAGAATGATGATCCTGTGTGTGTTTGGCTATTGTTGTTATATGTGTGCGTATGTTCCTGGTTGGAACTTAGTAGTATCCTAGCTGTTGGTGGAAGTGTGTGTTTCTGTAGGTTGCTTGCAGATGGTGTGTAGTTGTGCATCAATTGAGGGGGAGTATCACAGGATGTTGTACCAGATGTTGTGACATATGTAGTCTGAACTAGCAGGTGGTATTTAGTGTTGTGAAACAGATGTGTTTTAAGGATGTCATATGAGATGTCTGGACATTCATAATCTAGAACAGTCTGTGTGATTGGTAGTGTAGTTGAATCTGATTTGGTAGTATAACATGTGTGTTAAGTGTAGTATTAGCTAGTAGCTATCATGCATGGTTAGATGTGAGTTGTGAACTTTTCTGCTGCTTATGTTCTCTGATATGGTGACAGATTGTTTTATCCAAAAATTTGCCCAAGGGGGAGTTTGTAGATGTTCTTGATTGGCTGCATTTTATGGTAAAACAATGTTGTGTGTAGATGTCTTGACTGATGTCATGACATTCGTGTGTAGTGTTCTGTAGGGTAAGTTTTGTTAGCTTAGAATAAAGTGTATTGGATGTCATACTAAATGTTATGACATCAGGTAGCTGACATCAAGGGCGCATGTTTGTTTTTCTGGTATAATGGTTGAGTTAGCTCAGGCTAGATTCCAAGAAACATATTAGGGCACGTAGTTATCTCAGGCGAAATGCTAGGCAATGTTGAGGATAACATGAAATGCCTATGACCTAATTGACAGAACCGTGATTTATGAAAAGAGGTTTAACTTGGTTAAACCTAATTGCTGCACTGAGGCCCGAGGAACTTACGCTGCCTATAAATACAGAAATGGCAATCCTAATTCGAAACGAAGACTTAGAGATTTTACAGAGTGTGTTTGTGAGTGAAGAATTCTGTTTGTTCTTCACGTGTGTTTTGTGTCTTAGGATTACTTGTGAGCCAAGAAATTATCACCTGGATGATTGCTCTGGACTAGTGTGTTTTGAGTTGTACTTTGTTTGTGTCACTCTAAGCTTTTAAGCACGAGTGTTGTGTCTCTTGATTGAAGCTATGAAGTAAGATCAATATTTGTTTGAAATGTGTCTTCATTTTTATCTGTAACTTTAATTGGTTGATATCACTGTTGTGATTGAGGGGGAGTGAGTTGGTACTCAGATCTAGTGTTAGGCTGAAGTTGCATTGGGTAGGTCTTAAGTGAAGAGTGCAAACTGGTAGTTTGGCTCTGAATTAACACTGCTTATAATGGATTTCATCCCTGGCTTAGTATCCCCCATAGTAGGTGTGATTTGTACCGAACTGGGTCAACAATTCCCTGTGTTATTTACTGCCTTCTTTAAGTGTTTTACTGCTTAGCTTAATTGGTTGTTCAGTAGTGGATGTCATAACATCCAATATAACATCGACTATCTGTTACTAGAATTTCACCAGTCATAAAAGGACTCTTGCGCCTACTCATTTGAAGCTCTCTAAGGATGAAAATAAGATTAGTGTGGATCAAAGTCTTTACATAAGAATGATAGGAAGTTTACTATATTTGATTGCTAGTAGACCTGATATCACATTTACTGTTGGAGTTTGTGCTAGATATCAAGCTGAGCCAAAAGTTAGTCACATCAATCAAGCAAAGAGGATTTTTAAGTATGTAAATGGTACTATTAAATATGCAATGTTTTACTCACATGGTGTTGATGCCATGATGGTTAGATATTGTGATACTGATTGGGCAAGTAGTGTTGATGATAGGAAAAACACCTCTGGAGGATGTTTCTTCTTAGGAAACAACCTGATTTCTTGGTTCAGTAAAAAGCAAAATTGTGTGTCTCTTTCCATTGTTGAGGTTGAGTATATTGCAGCAGGAAGTAGTTGTTCTCAGCTACTTCAGATGAAACAAATCTTAAAGGAATACAATATCAAGTAAGATGTCATGACATTATACTGCGATAATTTGAGTGCTATCAACATATCCAAGAATCTTGTTCAATATAGTAGGACAAAGCATATTGGCATCTGACATCACTTTATCAGAGATCTTGTTGAAGAAAAAGTGATCAGTCTTGAGCATGTAGCCACTGAGAAGCAACTGGATGATATTTCCACTAAAGCTTTGGATGCAAACTAATTTGAAAAATCAAGTGGCGGACTTGGAATTTGCATAGTTGAAGAATTGTAGCAATTACAGATATGGAGGAATGCAATAAATACTGCATCTTTCCTCTATAATTTAATGCTTGGAAGGACTGAGCTAATGAAGATTGTTAATGAGTGGAATAAAAGACCTCTACAATATAGTAGGGCCAGGTTGAAGAAGATGTACTTGAAGAATGTGGTAAGGGATTTTAGGATCAACACTCCTAATCCAGGTGACAACTTCAAGGAGTGTAGAAGGATCTTTGTTAGAGGCAAGAGTTGGAGGATCATCTAAAAGTGATATATTTGTGTTTCCATCTGGTTTTGTGCTTGTGTTGTATGCATTTTGTTTATTTTATGCTTCCATGTGTTTGTTTCCATTGATGCATGTTTACATTTACTCTATTTTTGTCAATTTTTGGCTAAAAAGGGGGAGTAAAGTATTGTTTGTTGTTTCTGATGTTAAATCAGATGTCACGACTGTATGTCATGTGTGTACTACTGCTTTGGAAGAGTGGTTGTGTTTTTGTTGCTGAACTTGTGCAACTATTTAGGGGAAAGCATGATAGTCTGTCATGCTTGCTTGTTGTTGTTGTGTCTGAGAAAAGTTATCATTCTTTGTAGTAAGTTGTAGTCTTCAGAGGAAGTGAGGCTGAAATGACTGTGGTTGTTACTGCACTTTATGGGAACTTGATATGTTCAAGTTTTTTTTGGTTTTCTCCTTCAAGGGGAGAACTGATTATGTGTGACAGGGGAAGTGGTGTACCTGTCTGTTTTGTTGCTGCAAGGTTGTAGTTTATATAGAGCTTACATGTTCTCATGTAGCTTGTGTTGTTTTGTGATGTCAGACCTAATGTCTTGAAATTGACATTGTGCTATTTTTTTCTTTTTGGTTTGACAACATTGTGGTTATTCGGTTTTCTTGTTTATGTTTCCGATGTGTGCCTCTGGTATGTGCTAAGGTTATTTTAGCCAAAATTTTCTAAATGGGGAGATTGCAAGTCCTGTGGTTTTTGGATTGGCTACATTTTAGAAAAACAACATGTTGCTAGCAAGGTGTTGAACCTGAAGTTCTGCCATGTCAGTCAGACATCATGTTTTACATGATGTTGGGACATGTTATACTAGATGGTTAGGGCATGACTATTTTGGTAATTTTAGTGTGATTTTTGAGTGTGTTCTAATGCACACGTAGGCGACTATTATGGGAGAATGTTGTGGGAATTTCTGTTATTGCAGATTCTGTTACTTTTCATAAAAAGGATCCTTGAGCCTTTTTAGGAAAGTTTGTATTTTTCTCATACTGATTGCTGCTGTTTGTGTGCCTCAAGAATCCCAAGTCCAATAGGTTTGAAGGCTATTTAAAGAGAAGGGGAATCCTATTGGAGTAAGAGAGCATATTGTAAGAATTTAGAGAATTAGGATTAGTCGTTGTTTTGGTTGGTCCCTATGGTTTTTCGTTTGTTAATTGTATGTTACTCGTGTATCTTCAGATATATTGAGTTTGGTTGATTGTTCATTGTTCACTCTAAACTTTTAAGGAAAGAGTGTATTGTTCTTGGTTGAGGCTTTTAAGCAAAACCGAGTATTATTTTGGAAGTGTGATCTTCTATTATTTATTTTGTATACAGTCACTAGGATTGGGTCTGTTTGATATCACTGAGGTGATTTAGGAAGTGAGAGGGGATTCTCATATCTAGATGGTGATTTCTAGGTAGAAGTTGCACTGGCTAGGGATTAAGTGAGGGGTTGTAAACTAGGATTGTTTAGCTTTGAATTAGTACTATTAATATCATATTTCCTTCCTGGTTTGGTAGCCCCCAGATGTAGGTGGATTGCACCAAACTGGTTTAACAACTTTGGTGCTATTTATTTTCTTCTGTTTACAATTTTTGGTTGTGTGTGTTCAAGTTGTGTTTTGATCCCAGTGTTATTGTGACATCTGTCTCGACATCTAATATCTGCGTGCCAGAATTTCAGAGAGTTAAAGTAAGAGAGATAGTAATATTTAAGATTGCTTGTGTGTTTTGAAATTAACATAAGACCTCCGTATATTGTAAAAGATTTGTCCAAAAGAGGAAATATTTTTAGGAAGAAACCACGTTATGATCGATTAGACTGTAACTCTAGTCGATTAAGACCTAGCAAATTAGGAAATAACTCGCAAGATTTGGAGCAAAGTTTATTAAAAAGGTTTCTTAATCAATTGTATGGAGAGTTTGATCCATAACCGATAAAAGAGTGAATTTTCTATCCCTAATTGATTAAGATCAATTCCTCTTAATTGTTTAGCTTCTAGACAAAAATACATTTAAGAACATTTTTAAAACATATGAAGGTCTAGAAAGAGTTTGTGTGTGTGTGTGTGCGCGCGCGCGCGCGTGCGTGCGGATGAGTCTCAACGTATAATTAAGTTGACGATAAAAATTACATTTGAAATTTAAATTATAAGAAAAAAGAATTTTAAAATGAAATGTCGTCAATGTAATATATATATATATATATATATATATATATATATATATATATATATATATATATATATATATATATATATATATATATATATATATATATAGAACAGAGCGGTTGAATACCAAAATGACAAACCGCACAACATAGGATATTAAAATGTGAAATTTTAATAATTCTTTATAACCTTCATGTTACTTGGGAAAATGATCATTCAAATTATAGATATGACATAACCTACAAACATATTCAAAGAATTGTGAATTAGTCATCTATTAGAGATATAGCTAGAAACATTGTTATTTCATCAAACAAATAAAATGATATAATAATTAGCATGAAATTAAAGGTACCTATATGATGTTATGGAAAACTTCTTTAAAAACAACATTTTTAGTGTGATCTAAGAAGATTTTATTTTTGTCGTGAATCAAAATTTTCAATTCTGCTTTACTTTTAATTCTTGAAATAGCAACATATAGTTGTCCGTGACTGAAAACATTCTTGGGTAAATATAAACCAACATAATCTAAAGATTGACCTTGAGATTTGTTGATTGTCATAGCAAATTATGACACTATTATTGAAAGTTGTCGTCTGATGGGTTTAAATGGTTATGGCGATTAAGAAGGAGACAACGACATCCTCGAAATATATATAGTGTTTCCAAGATTTATTCCGGATATAATTGTTGTTTTGATTATATGGTTGACCAACCTAGTAACTCTCAACCTTGTACCATTGCAAAGTCCTTCTGATTGATCCAAATTTCTAATCAACGTGATGGTTGTGTCAATTTTCAATTTAATGGAGCAGTTTGGCAACCCAGAAGTCTTAAGACAACTCAAAAAACTCAAGAGTCAAATACTCAAACGCATCATTATCATTAGCTTCAGATCTATCAATTGAGTCACTTTTCAAATATTCCTTAAAATCACCTACATAGGGTAAAAAGGTAATATATGTTGATGGCAGACGCATAATAAGTAGAAAACAAATTTTATTAAAGCATAATTAAAGCATAAATATAGCATAAATTTGTAGACAATAAATATTGTTGCCATCCACACACTATGTAATAAATTGCTTATAATGGAAGAATTAAATTCACTCTAAACATCCCAGTATGAATTGAAAATATAAGGAGCTGCAGAATGGTGTTGAATGGAATGGAAAAATGGACAGATTGAAAATTATTAAACTGGGATGATGAGGTGTCAATAATGCACAGTTTGAAAATTATTAAATTGACTCTAGGCATCCCAATAATTGTTTCTAATTGATTGAAATAACTTTTCACTATTTGACAACATTAGCAATGATGAGGTTGAAAAGCTAATAAGCATAAAAAATAAAATTGACTAATTCTACTGTTCATGTGAGGCGCATCAAATGCTAATATGTAACAATTACTAATATGGAAGCATTTAATTCACTAAAGTAATGCGAGAATGAAGTGCAAATACATGTAGTTGCATAACTGTATTGAATGCATTGAAATTTCTATTCAGCAAGCATTATTAACCAATTCACAGCATTAACTTTAAACTAATTGACTGCATGCATGAATAAATGTAATGGATAAAACCAACACTTGAGACTACCATAAATGAGATTATTAACTAAGTAACTGCATGAACTAACACATAAGTTAAAATTTAATGATTGCTCAATGAGTAATGACCATTATGAATAAGTAATATAGCATAAATTTTTGCATAAAAACCAATTACACATAATGAAAGACGTTATGAATGATATAGTAGTGTATACAATAACTTCTGTCTATGGTAAATGTCTCAAAACTATATGTGCATGCTAACATTTTGTTGTCAAAACTCTAGCACTATCTTATACAACCTCTAGCCACAAAGATATATACACTACGGTATACAATATATATGCACATTTTACCCAATATATATATATATATATATATATATATATATATATATATATATATATATATATATATATATATATATATATATATATATATATATATATATATATATATATATATATATATATATATATATATATATATATATATATATATATATATATATATATATATATATATATATATATGTATGTATAATGGACCTATGCAAATTTGATTAATGGCAAATAAAATTTACCTTGAAGCAAATTTGTTATGTAGTCGTTAATATCATCAACTATTTCAATAGTTGATGCAAGAATAGTTTTACATTGAAGAAAATTTGAATTTGTATAGTTTTGGATGAGATTTGGATAAGTACTTGTAACAATAATTTCAAGTGGGTCTACATAATCTCTAATAAGTAACTCTTCAGGAATAAAAATCTCAGTATATCCATCATTGGGTTTGAATATTTTCCTATCACCAACTTGTAAAATCCATTCTAATAATAGTTGAATTTCTTCAAAACCAACTAAGTTTGAACCATTTTGCAACCGCATAATTTTGGTAAGAGTTAGGACTTTGCAATGGTCCCAAATATATGATGCATTAATTGTAGAATGAACAATATCAAATCTAGTTTCTCTTGGTACAACATGTAAAATCTGTCTGAAATCTCCTCTAAAAATGACAACTTTACCTCCAAAAATTTTAGTACATTCACCACTATCATCACTCATTATATCCTTCAATGACTTGTTAAGAGCTTCAAAATAATATTTACTTTCCATCAGTGCTTTGTCCCATATAATGAGTTTTGTAACTTTCAATAGATTAGCTAAATCTGATTTTTTTCTCAATGTTACATGTGGATGATTCTAGACATGGTACTAGAATTTTAAACTTTGAATGTGTGGTTCTCCCTCCAGGTAACAATAAACTTTCTATTCCGCTTGATGCTACATTCAATACAATATCTCGTTTGAAACGAAGAGCAACAGAAAGGGTGTTCCACATGAATGTTTTTCCGGTGTCGCCATAACCATATAAAAAAACTCCACCTCTTTGTGTTATGACGGCAAACATGATTTCTTTGAAAATGCTGAGTTGTTCTCCTATATTAAAGAATAACATAATTTAAATATAATTTAGCATAAGACATGGTAATGTGTATGAAATAGATTTATTCACAAACATAATTACAAAAATGAAGAAAACAATTAAAGTAAATCATGAGAATTAGATTTTGTAATTGTAATCAAATCAATTTTACTATAATGAAATATAAATACCTGTTAAGGATTGAACCAGATTTTGGTAAATTTGTTCCTGAGTAGAAATATCATATTGTCGTTCATCATATATTAATCTATTTTCAAGAAAGTCTATGACATAATTTGTTGGATATGGAATTGATTTAAATTCTTTTAAACTTTTTCTATTTTTCTGAAGTTGCTTCTCAATTTCTATCAATGTGAGTTGTTGGATATCTTCATCGAACAAGTTTAAGTCTACACGGAAAAGATTTAAAGGGTTTCAAACTACATAAAGGATATCTACATTAATTAAATATGAATGCATACAATGATAGAAAGATTATAAAATTTGAATAACCTGAATTTTGAGACAATCTTCTTTGTTCATATAGAATGCCATCTGATAAGTATATTCAAGTCTTGCGTCAAACATGGTCAGGTCGATTCATTGAAGCTGATAACAACATTGTAACAAAAAGTTTGTGCAAGAAAACACCAGAACCCCAATTGTGTGCCTCTTTTATGGCCTCAACGTACTCTTTGTCATCTTGTAGAAAACCCATAGCAAAACATGCATCTCTGAATATCTTGTGTTTGAACCCATCAACTCTCTTTAAATCAGCATAGCAAGTTGGCCCTTTCTTTACAGCCAACGACATCTCATATAATTCAATTCTCTGGTTGTTGGCGGTACCCAAATTAGTCGGCCAATTGTGTAACCTCTTTTTCGTGGTCTCTAACACCTCTTCCGTCAATCATAAACAAAGTTGGACACAAATTAACCATATGTTAATTGTTTTACTTCTTCATTATCATTATTGGAAACAAACCAAGTTGTAAACATTGATTCTATGACACTTGGTTTCAAAAGAACATTTCCAATTTGCTCATAATCTTTGTAGCAAATCAAATTCTCTCCTTCCATGTGGAAAAAAAACTCTCAACTGTTGGTTTTCAACCATGAATTGAGTAAGAAAATATTTTCCAACAAGTTTCACTTGGGGATACATATCGACAATCTAAGTATTGTTTGATTTCGTCAATATTCCTATCTGTAAGCGAGTTATTTTGAACAATCACTACTGAGATCCTATCAGAACCCTTGTTGATGTACTTGAAAAGATATTTTATTGAAGTACTTTGATTGCACCACTCCATATTGATGTGTGCCTCATATTTCACCAACAAACTTGGATTATGGGGGACAGCATGACCACTATGAAGTGTGACTCCATTCTTTTCAACTATATTACCTAAATGTCTCCTACTATAAACTGGGTATCCATCTTGATCAACAATTGTCACATCTTGAAATTTCTTAGGATAGTACTTTGAGCATCTACCATCCTTCATACATGGGCACTTTGAATTTTCCAATCCGCAAGGTCCATGAACCATGTGGGTTTTAACCAGGTTATACAATCTTGGTTGTTTCACCGGATCGGGAACTTCAGCTGATATGATTTTATCAATATCTCCTGGTCCTGGATATTTATTAGATGAATGTAAGAATATAAGAATGTGTGCATGTGGTAGCCCTCTCTTTTGAAACTAAATTAAGTACATATATGAAAAGTATGAAATATTGTTAAATAATAATTTAAACATGACAATATTCTTTGTACGTGTTAATATATTCCATTGTAATCTTAAAATATGATGATTAGTAAAGGTGAAATTCAATACTTACATGCAAGAACTTTGCCTAAGACCCCCTTCTTGGTCACGTCTGCTAGAAGGCTATCAAACTTCATCTTAAATATTTTGGCAATGATATATGGTCTATCTTGTGGCTTCAAATTTAAAGGACCAAGTACTCTCTAAATCTCAAGCCAATTTGGGTTATAGGTGAATGTTATAAATAGGTCTGAAAATCCCACCTTACTACAAATTGCCATGCCACCATAGTATAGTTAATCCATAAATCTCCTACTTTCCACATATGACGATGGCAATATGACTCTCTTTCCTGTGCTTGATCCTTGCATTTGATCTCGCTCTTCATTCAAACTTGTAAACTTTGACACTCTTAATTTGCTTTGGTTTTTCCTTAGCCAATTCAATCTCTCCCCTTCGAGCATTGTGTAACCATCCACCAAAAATTGTTGGAACAGTCTCCTAGCTGATAACAATGTCTTTGCCTCATCGGATCTTGTTTAGATTCTAAATGCTAGCCATTCGCGTATTTTAAGTCGATTCCTTTTATTATCATCCAAAATGTCTAGATCTCGATGGGCAACGTTAGGTCTATAACCATCTTCTCCATAAGGGAATATCAATGGATATTGGAATGCCAAATAGGCTGGATGAAATTCATCAATTCTTTCTAGTTGTCCCCCTTTGGCTTGCATTATAATATCTCTTTCTTCGGTCGTGTCAATGTCCCCAAAAATTAAAGCTGCCACCTTAGAAATAGTCGGTT